TCAGGAAGGGGGGGGGGGACAACAGCGATCGATTGGGAAAGGAACTAGCTAGAATTTAAGCCTAATCTGCCTTTCTATTTACTTAGTAGAAACAGTGTATGAACATTTTGAAGTAAACGCGAATATAAATATAATATGCGTACAAAAATGAACTTATATACGGCAACATTCTTCTAAAGAGTAATACGTGATTTCCTTTTATTAAACTTTATACAATTTCCCGTTTTTTAAGCTTATTTTTATACAGTGTTTCAAATTCTTGCTAAATGCTGAATAGTTTTTCACAGCAAAGAACACTTTGATAAGTGCACAATTTGATTTACATAACCAAAAATGCCAGAAACCTCATATCAGTTCTCTTTCTAGAAGAGACGTCATTTATTGTAAAACTGCAAAATTTGGTTTACTTACTTCAGTTATTGCACATTTAGACACCACACTCGTAGAACTTGAAGGGTGACCATTCGAAGGTTTAGCAGCGTCCATATTCGACTAACTCCGAACTATAGCCAAGATGTGACTATAACAAAGTGTTTTTTCACCGAGCGCTTTCATCGAGAGGAGGCCCCGCGCTTTAGTGGATTGACATCGACAAACGAAAAACTAAGTGAAGGTTCTAAGCATTGACATATTGTCTTATACTGTGACCATCTCTAAATCACTGTTCAAATGTCGCTGTGATAAAGAAACCTAAGTGTCCAGTAGCTATTTTTTTGACATGAAATTTCGTTTCTTAACTAAAGTGAAACAAACAAGCGACTTATAAAATGGTAAGCGAGATCCTTCAGAACAGGAAGAGAGTTTTGAAGTAATATACAACATCAGATTAAAATAAAGGCGGGAAAATGAGCGTTGAAAAAAAGAAAATTACAATCTAATATTGCTCATTTTGTATGGAAAATAATGTGAGGTTCAGGTTATTACTGTGGAGCACACCCTTGGTCTCGGGTCGAATCTGTGACTCGTCCGATTACAAGTACGAATACACGGAATGCGGTCCCGACGGATCGCGCTGGAGGGTAGCCATTCCTCATCAAAGCGGAACCTGCGAGGGTTTGCCACCACCCACACGCGGATTGAACTGCTGTAAGCTTATTCCGCAGGCTACCGCAAAATAGTTGATCGGTACTCTTTTCCCATTGGAGCTTTTTCCGCATGCTTAGTCAGTTTTGTAGTTCAAAAAAGTCAGTCTTGGAAATCTATGGGCGACCTTATAATACAAGATCGTCATTTTTACCTCATGTTACATTTTCAGCATTTTCCTGTTCGTCGGGAAACTATCTGGACATCATGACACAGTCCTGCAGACCATGCCCAGCAGGTAGGTTGCATAAACAAAATATCTGCTTTTTGTGAAACCATAGAACTAGAGCAAGATGTAACAGCAGTACCTAAATACGAACAGTACTTATGGATAGGAAGTCCAATTTCCCTTCAATAGCTGTAGAGCTTCAGGTCAATACAGTCTGGGAGGAGGCTCACGATTTGAAGAATTTTACACTCTACCGCCCGGTTTTTCCGTCGAGAATTTTGACCCCAGCTCAATGAGACTCGATGATACCACACCAGCGCAGATAGAAGCATGTCCGCCAGAGTAAGTCCTACGAGATCGTAGCCTTTTTACTTCATGGCAGTCACTCAGCGGACCTACAGTTAGGTTTAATTTTAAGGTAAAATATTTACCTGTACTATAAAGTTGTTGCAAAGTTTCTTGCCGCTTATAGGATTTTCCTTGTTTTTTTTT